GAGGTTCGCTGGCATGTCTATAATTTGCACCCTAAAAAGTTATCTTAAACACCCCTTAATAGGGTTCTCTGAGAGACCGATAGGGGCGTTCGGTGAATCTCCTTTTTTGATGCGAAAGAGTTCTTCATCACTCAGTTACCTTTGTAGGGCGCCAGGGGGCGATAGTGTATAGGGCGAAACCGTTTTTCACGAGCTGAAAGAGATCTTGGGGCATCAAAGAACCTTTCAGGAATGGATATTTTTTTTTTTTTTTAAGAGTCTCCTCTGCTCTTTCTTACCACCTCATTTTACCTCCCCTTCTTCAACTCAGAGTAACCAACCGAGGCAGGCCGCCTTGGTTCCACCTATTCTTACCTTCTCTCGTTCTTTTTATTATCACCTGGACAGACTTCAACTCTACTCATTACAAGTAATCAAATAACTTGTAATCGACTACTTTCCCCAGTACTTTTGTAATCAATTTCCAACATTCATAAAGAAGTAATCGCAAGAGTAATTAGTTTATTTTTGGAAGCATTAAGACTATTTGTAACCATTACTATGCTTTCCTCCCCATTCTAATGACGCCCCTTGGTTTTGCAGGTTTCCTACCAAGAAATCCTCGAGCCCAGTCTCAGAGAGGAGGATAGTTTGTCAATATTAATAGAGTAAGAATATAATATATTTTAGTTGAGTGCGTAGCTTATAAAGTAAAATAGAATCAAGATTTAAACATGAAAAAAAAAATTGGGTTGTGTATGTGTTTATACAGCCTAGAACTTGGTCTGCCTCACAGGGGCGACGAGTCTCCCAGCTGTAGATGAGAAATTTAGCCAGTGCGGTACAACCGCTAGCCTGGGGTCTTTAACGTGCATCACGCAGTAGTAGGGAGTTTTAGAATAGCGCACGCTAAAGCTTTGCGTACGCAAAAGAATAGCGTCGTCGCCACTGCGCATGCTCCGAACGCAAACCAGGTTTTGCGCTTTGCGTGCGCAATTTTAGCGTGCGCTATTTCTCGGAAATAGCGTGCGTACGCAAAGAGCCTTTGCGCTTTTCCAAGAAGGATTCATGATGAGAAGTTGGCTAAAGCCAAGACGAGCAGAGTTAAGCAAAAATGGCGGCTTCCAGGATTATAACGGCGGCTGCTTTGGCGGCGTCGTGAGTGCGACGTCGGCGGCATCCTCGCGACTGCGATTTTCAATACGAGACGAAATTGTACTCGGTTTGGCAACGATCACCGGCAACATGATGCTTGCGACGCGCGAACACTTCTCGGCGAAGGTACGATGTGCGAAGGTCAGTACACGAGACCTCTCTTGCCGAGACTAGAGCACTATATAGCTCCTTCGGAGCAGAGTAGCGTAGAGTGCCTTCATACACAACGCGCGCTTTTGCTTGAGTGGTGACATCTCAGCCATTTTTCCGCCCAATAGTTTTTTTATGCATTTTGAAGTGCGCGCGATCCGGTGTCACTCAGCTGGAGCGCGTAGCTTTGGTTAATGTATAGACGCCATTTTGCCGCCTAACTCACGCACCGAGTGCGCGAGAGTGTCACGCGCTGGCACACTCAGGTCAACAATGGATGTCCTCACCCTGAGACAGACAGACATGTAGGCACCCTAGAGTAGCGCAATCTAGAACGCCATCTCTCGGCGACTAGCGGCGAACGCCCGGAGGTTCCAACTGCGGTCAGAAATGCATGGAGAACATGAGAAAATCGTTGTTTCTTCAGTTTTGTGGGGATGTACGGAATGGCAATCATTTTTGACATAATAATGAAACATTTTAGAATAATTTGCGATAAGTTTTGTGCCATGCAAGGACGTAACTTTTTTTAAAAAATTGCCTGAGCTGCATCATGCAGCAGACAACACGGCGACGTCACACCATTCACGTGACCCGCTCCGGCCAACCCGAAAAGCCCATCTCCGCTGCGAGCAAAAATCGTCTGCTTCAAACGCCATTGCCCTGGAAATTGCCTTCTCAAAACTTGCACACGCATCCGATATTATTAAAACTTTGATAAAGTGTTTAGCGCTTTACTAACTTCACGACAGGCTAGTTTTGAAAAGTGTGAACTCGCCGTTATTTTTCTAATCAGCCGTGTTATGTCGATCTCCATGTATTCTCCCATAGGGCGGGCCGCCTCTTGGAACCCTGAGTACCACGTGACTCGCGCCGAGCCGCTCTGTCGGCCATGTTGTCGGCAAAACACGAGGTTCAAAGGATTGCGCTACTCTGCTCCGTAGGAGCTATATAGTGCTCTAACCGAGACGACGCAAGCGGGCACGACCGGTCAACCGCTCGCGTCGCATTCTCGTGTTTAAACGAACCTAAAGTGGTACTCTGGACCAAAAAGCTTGTTTCTTTCTAAAGTTACAGCATTTCGTGAGTGAAATAAAAATTGTGACTGTATCTTGGTGGCGTCGCAAGCGCGAGATGCTTGGGCTTTTGCGTCGCCACGGAGTAACGCTATTCTAAAACTCTCTTGCGTCGCGGGCGCTAATACAAGCGCTAAATTTAGCGCTAGCGTGCGCTAAAATTGCGCACGTTATTCTAAAACTCCCTAGTGATACACGACCGCACGCCGGTACGATGCTCATCCAGATCGAAACGGGCAGGGGTGGGGCTCGAACCCAGGATCCCTGGGTTCTGCAGCGCGAGCTTTCGCTCCACGTGCTCCGAGCTGGTGTGCGCTAGACCACTCGGCCACCGATCTTTTTTTTTTTTTTTTTTTATTTATTACATGGAAATATTAGACAACTGCAAGACAAAAACATGGTAAGGTTATCACATCCCAATTTCCATTACATATGATTCTCTATCTTATACTCTCATAGGCTCATTGTCGTGAACAGACAGAAGGAACAGAAAGGAATATTAAATAAATACAAAATGCACGTGCTAAAAGTCAGGTAGATTAATGCATCGATCAAAAAGAACATACCAATCTGGCCGCTCGTCAAGGTAGTTAAAAACATTTCGTACATGCGTTACTGTTTCAATGAAGTTTGATTTGGTAGATCGGGGAGGGTCCGCATTCCTATCAATCATTCTTGTTTTCCAGAGGCTATGCAACCCCATTAATGTAAACAGATCGTAAGGAAAGCTATCATTCAATTTTAAGGGCAAAAAACGTATTGTGTAAGCATTGATATTCAAGTCTTTTTTCAGTGTCCTTTGTAGGACATCCCAGAAAAGGTAAGCATCAGTACAGAAAATAAAACAATGCTCTATAGTTTCCGGTTGGTTACAAAGGCGACAATTGATTGACCACGGCACAAAAATTCCACGTTCGCGAAGCCAGGGTTTTACAGGTAACGTAGAAGTATGGAGCTTAAAGAAGAATGACTTTGCTGTAGGCGAGACATGTAGTTTTCGGACACGCCCGAGGACATCTTTTCCAGGGCCTTCACTATATATGCTTCGATACAAAGGTTCAGGGAACGTTATGTCAATCAGATCAGCATATAAGACTTTGCGTGAAACCGTAAATAAATGCTCCAAAGAAAAACGAGCTGTTAGAAACTCAATCGCGCTCACTACTTCTTTGAGGTACCCCACAGGACGTGATGTGCTTGCGGGTATCGTTGTAACCACCAAATAAGGTAATGCACTCGCGAGTTCCGTCTGTAAGTAAGTGCGAAGGAAATGATGAGATGCAGTTTTGAAGAATAAAAATCGAGATATTACTTGCTTTAGAAAGATGTGTATGAGTCCGAGACCGCCGACATCGATGGGGCGAAAGAGGTTATCACGTCTTGTAGGTTCCCAATTGGAACTCCATATAAAAGTAGCAAACACTCTGTGGAATTTTTGAATATGGCTTCTGGTACAGCAAATCACTTGAAGTATATACCAAAGTTTGGCGGCGAGAAACATATTACAGGCCTTAGCTCGCCCGAAAACTGACCACTGGTTGGATTTCATCTTGTCAGCTTGACATTTGATTTTCGACACCCGTTCAGTCCAGTAATGACCATTGTTACGGATACTGTTAAGAGGAACTCCTAAGTACTGAGGGGCAATGCAGCTCCACGATATTTCAGCATACTCTGATGGTGTTGTGGCCCATTGCCCGCACCAGAAACCTACGCTTTTCTCCTTATTAACGAGTGCGCCGGTTGCGTCACAGAAGTTTTGTGTTATTGTAAGGACATTGTCGACGCTGCGTTTATCGGCACAAAAGAAAGCTATATCGTCTGCATATGCCAATACTTTAACTTCAGAAGAGTAGAGACGGAAACCTTCCACGATAGGGCTGTTAAGTACACTTAAACAGAGGGGTTCTAAATAAAGCGAAAATAAAAGCGGTGATAGCGGACATCCTTGTTTGACGGACGATTCCAGACTAATTCGATTTGAAAGTGAACCGTTAACTATGAGCCTGGTGGCACAGTTACGGTAACATAACTTAACACCCTTTAAAAGTGTTGGTCCTGGGTTTACATGACGTAAAATAGCAAACAGGAAAGCATGGGACACGCGATCAAATGCCTTAGCCAAGTCTACCTGAACCATGGCGACTTGACCGGCATGAAGAACGCAGCTTTCTATCACTGAACGCGCAACGTGGATGTTAGTTTGTATACGTCTCCCCCTAATCCCACAGGTTTGGTGGTCTCCAACAACAGATGACGTGACACACTGTAATGGTTTTGTCAAAATTTTAGCAAAACTTTTGTAATCTACGTTGCATAAACTAATTGGTCGATAGCCTTCAATGCGCTGTAATTTGTCTGGGTCTTGACTTTTAGGGATCAACACAGTATGGCTCTCATAAAATGACGGCGGTAAAGTTCCCATTTCGTACGCCTCCAAAAACACCTCAAGTAGGAAAGGACATAGCAAGTCCTTGTATGTCTTGTAAAACTCTGCAGGGAGCCCATCAGGTCCTGGTGTTTTAGAATTTGGCAACTCGTCTACCGCGCATCGAACTTCTTCCAATGTTACTGGTCCACTGAGGAGATCTCGCTGAAGCTGCTTTACCTCGGGCATTAAAGAAACAAAGTTTTTTGCCAACTGGATGTCTAAATGTTGCGTTTTTCCAAAGAGACTTTTGTAATGCAACTCAAATGCCTTCATGATGACTTCTTCGTTGTCTGAGAGTGTCCCATTACATTCTAAAATTCTAATTTTCTTTGAAAGGCCGTTACGCCTCTCATCATCGAGTGCACGGCGCGTGGGTGTCTCTGAGGACAAGAAACGCCTACACCGGGACCGTACTAGTGCACCGTGTAAACGAATGTGCTCGTATTGCTGTAGCTGACATTTTACGCGAAGAATGTCTTCTTGGAACATACCAGGTGTTTCGCACTCCAACTCGTGAAGCATGCATAGATTTTTCAAAAGTGTAGCTTCTTCCTTCTTTGCATGAAAGGATGCAATGCACGCGCATTCGATTGCTTCATTCTTAACTTCCTGTTTGAAGGAGTCCCACTGAGCAAATATGCCAAATTTCTGATTCGTTGACACGTGATTAAAACATTCGCGGACACGTTTCTGAAAGTCTTGGTTGTCTAGCAGTCTTGTATTTAGTTTCCATAAAGCCCAATTTGGTTGTGCCTTTCGCGGTGCGTCTGTTCCAAAACGGATCTTTACAAGGCAGTGGTCCGAAAAAGAAACTGGTTTTACGTCATAAGCAGTCACGTGTGAAATAAGCGAGCTTGAGACGTAAATACGATCGAGTCTCGCATTACTTGAAGCATGAAGGTGAGTGAATCGGAGAGTAGTATTTTGGGAAGCTCCGACGTCAAAAAGGTGATAGTCGTATGCAAGAGTGTTTAGTATGTCGGAACTTCTATCGGGCCTTGCAGAAGGCACTGACCTGTCTTTTATGCTACACACACAGTTGAAATCTCCAAATAAAACAATATGTTTGTCGGTGCTGAGAAATGGGATCAGGCTTTCAAAAAAAAGAACTACGCTGTCTAACGTCATTATAGGCATATATGCAAATTAATCGCCAGTAGGTACCGTATAAAAGAAAATCGCAACATATGAACCTTCCCTTATCGTCGACAGTGTGAGAAAGTGATGAATACCCTAAGTTCTTGTTCAAAAACAAAAAACACCCTCCCGACAAGCCATCAGCATGACTGACGCATACCTCGTAATGTGAGAGGAAGGGGTCCAGTGCACGAGCAGTATCCTCGTCAGACGATATCTTTGTCTCTTGAACAGCAACAAAGTCAAGATGTTCCTTTAAAAGGAGCTTGTACAATTGAGACTGCCGTGCACGTGAACACAGTCCTCTCACGTTAATGGTAGCGAAGCTGAGGGGTGATGTCAGGAAGGTTTCTAGTTAGGGTGGGAGCACATCGTCATCGTTCCTCACGTCCAGAGCTTCAGATTGCGACGTCTTGTTGCAGAGGAACTCTCGCACCGCAGTTGGCTTGCGTTTCACCTCACTTCCCTCGTCGTTCTTGCTCTCGGCAATGATACCTGAGGCGGAGGGCTGCGCGTTACTTGTCGTCGTAGGAGCAGGTCGTTTCACCGATGTGCCAGTGGACGTCGTGGCGCGTTCGCGTCGGGCAATTGCTTGCTGGCACGGTAACTCAGGTGGTGCGTTAAGGGATGGAAACTCGCTATCCGACCAATCTCTCTTCGTTTCCGTGACACACTCGGTTGGTGTTGACAGTCCTGGCAAGGTGCTGGCAGACTCGGGGTCAGAACGAAGTTCTTCTGGTCGCTGTGTAGACGTTTCCGACTCGGTCCTTTGTGTCTTGATAAGGGAAGAGGTGATGTCCCCTGTGGCATCAACGACTTCGCTGATGTCCATAAGATGATCGTGGACAACATCGTCTGCTAGGCTTCTCGACTGCCTCAGCTTGTCTGCGTAGGTGGTGACGCACTCACTCGCGTCGTGTCCGTAGCGTCGGCACTCGCCGCATCTCGGGACTCTGCACTCACGACGGATGTGACCGATTCTGTTACACCGAAGACACAGCGGTGGCCGACCAGGGACGAGCACCAGGCTTCGACAGCCGAAGACCGTGAGCTGATGTGGAATATTCGTTGCATTCATTCCTTCTCTAAGTGTCAGGGTCACCTCTTTGTTGAGCGTTTCCATTTGCTCCATTCCAGAGCACTTCCATTTTTCTCGTACAATGGAACGGACCGTGCCAAAAGGCGCCAGTGCCTCTTCGATTCTCTGGTTTTCCATGTGTACAGGTAACCAGAGAAGTTTCAGCTTCACATCTCTGGTGTCGGGATCGATGATGAGGCATCTGCGTCCCTTCACGGTAAGCTCCATTTTGTTTACAAGCTTAGTTTTACTTAAGGCGTTTGCGCACGTTACCATCCAGACATGGCTCATCTGAAATTGGCCTATTCCGATGATATCTTGGGCGTCGACAACATCTCGTAAGGCGTCACGGAAGTCTGGGGCTCGGTAGGGTCGTGCGGCGAGATCGCCATGAAGAAAGACGGAGTTCAGGCTCAAGTTACCTGTGGGTAGACGAGGTAGCACGGTCCGGTATTCATTGGTCAACATTTCAGTAGTACTGGCCGAAGCCTCAGCGGTTCCCCGGCCGGTGGCCGGTATGTTTTCCTTGGAGAACATCGAAAACACGACCGTTCTCAGCGGCGTCTTCTTCTTTCTCCGGCCACCGATCCCCCCGATTTAAACATGAAGGACGGACGCAACAGATTTTTCGACAACCGAAGCTGACAATGCTGTGATTTTAATTTAACGATGTATGTACGGAAAACCAGTTTTAAAACTGGCAGAAAATTTGTCGTTTTGAAAATGTCAAGTCCTCGAAATTGTAGCGGTTATTTTTTCAAGTTACAGCCAATTACTTTTCTTCTCAAGTATGATCAAGGAATCTAATTCAGCGCTTTCTGACCAAGGGTAATTGTAATTCTAATTGATCAATATTTTCGTGTAACGTGTACAAGACTTGTTAACGTAGCAGCTTGGGTGAGTCGGTTGCTCATATTAAGACACAATACAGCGCGCTACTGCAAAAGTACACTTTTGCAGTAGTGCGCTGTAGCGTGTGTTAATGAGTAGAATACTGTACGTGGTGGACGCCGCGGGTGAAAGGAACTTCGCACGCGGCCTTTAGGGAATTGAGCAGAAGGTCTACTTATCGAAAGGTCTATAGACCTTTTCCGCTTACTCTCGCCCCCGACCGCCAAGTATACATATCCGGTATGGGCGACGAAAAAATATAAAAAAGTTTCAACCTGCAAAGAGTAAAAAAATAGAGGGGAGGCAAAACGAGAATGGGTGACGTTTACTCTTATAGCCTAAGTGTCTTCTACTGGCGTAGCGAGGGCAAAACAATCTTTTCGCCCATACTGGAAGTGACGACAATTCAAGATGGCGGCGCCCTTGCCCGAAAAAGCTCTATAGTTCTCTTTACACGTTCGCTCCGAAGAAAGAGGCCTTTCTTTGCTGACCTTGGGATTCAGGTACGCTGCTGCGTCTCAGCTTGAAAACGAGGCGTGCTCCAACCTTGGTGCGCTGCCGACAGCGTGAGAACAATGGCGTTTGAAGAGCGCGCACACGCGGCTCAGGAGGACATTGTTCTTGCCAGACACCTGCCGCCTTACCGCTACATCTGTTGTCGCACCTAGGGATTGTGCGGAGTACCGGGCAGGGGCTCTCGAGAAGGTTCTTTTTCCAAAGGGGCTTTCTCCCCAAGCGACAGCGGGTGTGCTGGCGGCGGCAGAAGTGAGAGGTGTCCGAACTGGGTGGCAGCGAAAAGCTCACCGGAGCAAAGCTCCCCGGAGATTAGCGCAGCAGAAAAAAGCTCACCGGAGAAAAGTTCACCGGAATAAAACTCATCGCATAACCCTCATATGGGGGGAAAAGCTCACCGGTGTTTTGAAGGAGGCCGAAAAAAGCTTACCTCCAAGTCTGTGAACCAAGCCTTCGCTCAACTGAAATACCTTAATTCCAATGAATTATGGCTGAATGCCATATGTGTATGAGTTTATTGTTCACTTGACCAGCAAATGAATATTTTTATTCGTGTACCTGTGATCTAAACCACGGCCGGACTGGAAGCGAGCGCTCTCTTTCTCTTCTTACGGCCTTTGCAATCGCCCGGGAGTCGATGGCATTTTTTCTACTTATGTAGTTCACTTGCTTGCCGCCAGGGGCGCAACCATTTCACCCCACTCGGAGATTCCCTTTGAGTTGCTTTCCGCTGGTGTTCTAGCTTCGTAGGTTGTTGTTTTGGGAACGGTTTTTTGAACTTCGCTTCGATTTAAGTCACTCCGCCGACAGGCAGTGTCGTCAGCAAACCGCGTTCCCCTGTGACGAAAAATCAGCTGGATATGTGCACAAGCAATCGAGGAAGCAATTTAGGCTGTATTATGCACTGTGGGGAAATTTTATAGACTACTACACCCTTGTCTAGAGCAGCTCACCGACATCATGTGCGGCCTATGAAACGATGATGCAGACCACGGCAATAGATATATCGGGCCTGCTTACATTTCACGAGAGTGTACGAATTATTTATAATTTAAAGTTCCTCTACGTAGAAGGGGTCCACTTCCTCCTGTTCTTGAGTTGCAACGGAAGTCCTGGAGGTAAAGACGAGTATAGTTTTTCCGCAATTGCATTCGCTGTCTCTAGTTACTACTTTTTACACCCGAATATCTCGGAGATGGGCGTCAAATATTCACCGTCTTGGGCTCATCAAAAGCGCATTAGATAGTGGCTGAGGGTCCAAACGCAAGGATCAGGTGTCAAAGGTTATAAAAATCTCGGCCGCAAGTTGCGACAGCGCTGAGATACACTGTCAGACGCGCTCTGTGCAAACGGCAAAGGGTAGCCCAGGGGTGAGGTGTCAGCGCCCCCCGCGAATTACGGCGGGAGGTGGCGACTGCCCCAATTGCTAAGGCCGTAAGAAGAGAAAGAGAGCGCGGGCTTCCAGTCCGGCCGTGGCTAAACTTAGTGGGGAAACTGGATCGGCGTCTAGGTCACAAGACGCGAATTTTCCCGCTAAATTTAGCGGGTGACTGAATCGGTGTATAAGTCACGCGACGTGAATTTCACGCCAAGTTTAGCGGGGAAACAAAATTGATGTTTTGGCCACAAGACGTAAATTTTCCCGCTAAATTTAGCGGGGAAACTGAGTTGGCGCGTAGGTCACGCGCCGTCGATTTCCCCAAGGTGTATAAGTCACGTGACATCAGGTGACTTCACGTGACGACAATTTCCCGCCAAAATTAGCGGGGAAACTGAATTGGTGTATAGGTCACGTGGTGCCAATTTTTCCGCTACATTTAGGGGGAAAAACTGATGTGGTCTGTATGTCCCGTGACGTCGATGCAGGGCCGGCCCTGCTCCATCAGGTGCCCTGGGCCATCTCCTGCCGTGGCGCCTATCCGCAGCCTCTTTGTACGCCCCTCGGCGCCAACCTTTTGATGGCGCCCTGGACGACAGCCCGGGTCGCCCACCCCTAGAGCCGGCCCTGTGTCAATGTATGTCCCGTGCTCACGTGATATCAATTTTCCGGCTAAATTTAGCATAGAATCTGAATTCATGAATACGTCCCGTGATATCCATTTCCCCGCTAAATTTAGCCGGAAATGCACAGACGGAGGATGGACAGACGGACAGACGTTAAAAAGCATTTCACGCTTAAAACTTTAATTCGAGGTGAACTTTTCTTTGGACCCGCACATAAGTGGTTGAGCTTTTCTCCGGTGAACTTACCTCCGGGGAGCTTTTCTTCGGGATTCGTCTGAACTAGCGCCGCCTCGCCATGGAGCAAAGGTGGCGAAATTTCGCTCGAGTGCCTAACAAGCGCAGTGAAAATGAATGGTTAGTTGTTTTAGACAGCGGGACTTCAGTCTACCAGAGTACGGCGATATGAGAAATTTAGCCAGTGCAGTACGGCTGCTCCCCTGGGGTCTTTAACGCGCACCAAGCAGCAGTGATATGCGACCGCACGCCAGTAGCATGCACATCCAGACCGAAACAGGCAGGGGTGGGGTTTGAACCCAGTATCCCCGGGCACTGCAGCGCCAGCTTTCGCTCCACGTGCTCCGAGCTGCGGTGCTGCCCTGCGATGCGCTAACACACTCGGCTCCTCTTTTTCAACGGCTTCTACTTCCTTTGGCGCAGGATCACGGATATTTGTTTCGGAAGGTGTGACTTGCCCGGTGGCGGTTCGAACCAGCCTGCAAAATGGCCGTGCGGGAACGTCTGGGAGCCGGAAGTAACGTCGACCGTGACGTCAACGGTGACGTTTTTCTGCTTCCAGGAGGCGCACGGAAAGTTGAGAATATTGGAATTTTTTGACACCCGGACGAATCTGGAATCGGCAGTAGGCGATCAAGGGGACGGCGGTCTTACCCTCCTTAAAAACCTTGAGCGGGGCGGGGTGGTGGGGGTGGGTGGGGGGCGCTTATCGCTTATCGGGTTGTAATATTCGTCATTTATTGCTGATGTTACAAGGTATGGGCGATGCCGACGCATACTCGAGCCAGAGCCTTTGACTCGAGCCACACCCTCGTCACGTGATCGATTCTCGTCGTTTTTATGCGAATTTGCGCTGCTTCGTGGCGCCTCCCTAAAGGTACTACATCACGCGGGTAACATACGAAAAAAAAAAACATAAGCAGTCTTAAGAGGCAATACTTAAATAAAGGTTACTGCGCAGGCGAGCCGGTAAACGAATTAAGGTCAACAAAAACAACAACAAAAGAACTTGAGATTAGAGACAGAAATTGGGAGTACACAACAGCGTCTGAAAACTCAGCTGCCAACTTTTGTCTCTCGTCTTAAGGCGGTTTTTTTTTTTTTTTTCTAGGCGGTAATATTAAGAAGCAGTTCTTTTTTGTTGTATCCTCCCCTTCAAAGTCACTCGAAAATCCCCCCAAAATGGGGTATTTTCTTACTCTCCTGCACGTGGAGAATAATGTGCGTTATTCGTAGGGCTGAGCAATTGATCGATCAACCTACCGATTAATCAATTAATGCTTTAATCGCGATTAATTTTTTAACCGGCGAATCGGTAAAATTTTGACGAAACAAAAGAGTAAAAATGAAACGCCTTCACAACGCAGACGGTGACGAGTTCACCTGTACGAAGGGCAAACTATAGGTGAGATTTTAACTTAAAGTAAACTGCAGGGGCGAGATTTGTAACTCCAGAGAAGTACAAAAGGTTACGCCACCTGAACGCCGTGCGAATGCCAGTTTATGGCGCAGCTGAGTCTATTGCGAACAATCAAAGGAGACCGCCCTATAGCAAAAAAATTAACTAAAGAATATAAGTTAGTTTCGGTCTCGTTCCTGAATTAGAACGCGCCTCTTGGCGTAAATATGACGGAAAACACTGTTTTTGTTTACGGGATAAAGGAGTGTCCTGCGCGCATAACACTCTAGCCTCCTCGTATAAGCGGGAATATTTTATATCGCTCAGTAAATCCAGCACACTATACCGGCTCGGCAACTGGTATGCTCAAACGCATATCCGACCCTCACTATAACCGCCATTTTGGAAAAATAGTGGCGCAATCTAACGGACAGTTGGGGTCGCGAATAGGGCCGCGGCGCAGTCCCTCTGCACGTACATTATACTATGGTGCCTGGAGCGAGTCTCCGACTGGTGTGTTTATAGCGT